CTTGGAGAGTGGGATGATCTGGCCAAGAAAGTAGCTACTCAGCAAGCCTATCTACGTCAAGTGCTGCAAGCTGTCAAGGGGGCTAAGCGCAAGAGCACGGGGACAGGCCCTTCGGCATCCCGTAGTTCGAAAAAGGGGGAGAAGGGTTCTGCTGCTGCTGCTAGCAAAGGTGATGATGAAGACTCTGATTCTGGGGGAGATAGCGCTGATGAGGCAATTGCAAACTATTATGCTGATGATTAGTAGGCTGGTTTAGAATGAGTGATGTAGTGAGGTCTTTATGTAATAAAGAACCTCTTATTTTGTTTGCTTTTGATATGTGGTTTTGTTGCTACTATTATCAGTTATTTTGGGTATTGATGCTTTTGATGACTATTTATTTTCTTTGATTGGAGACTTGTTAAATTCATTTTGTTAAGTCTTGTTGGCTGCAGGAACTAAGGGGGAGAACTGTAATTATACAGTGACTACTTTTCTGTGTGGACTAACCCCTTGATGTGGTTTGCTATTTGGTGCTTGTTGTTTTAATTGCAAGTGCGTTTCAAGTATGATGTTTTCGAACTAGATGCCAAAGGGGGAGATTGAAAGATATTTTTATTTGGCATTAGTTCATTAGTTCGAACAAGCACCTGGAACCACAGAAAAAGGGAAGATCTTCAAATATTTTATTTCCTTAATTAAGTTTATTTTATATTCCATATATAAGATATTGTGGGTCTGATTATTGTATTTTATTTTATAGGAAATCGGATGTGAAGGAGATAAAGAAAGGAAGGAGCCGTGCATGATTAGGAGATCAAGAAGAAAGAGAATGAGAGATTCACTTACCTAAGTTATGCTATAATCATGGAAGGAAATCAAGCTTGGAGTTCTATGCCTTGTAGAAGACTCCAACCCTAAGGAGTTCATTTTAAATACCCTAGAGGAAGCTCTTATTGCGGCTGCTGAGCTGAGAGAGATTTTTAGAGCAATACTTGAGCTCCACATTTCTATTTTTCTGTTCAGTTCAGTTGTACACAGTTCAGTACGAGAGTTCTTATAAACTCAAGGACTGAAGCTGTTTTGTTTTGGATTTCTTTGTTTCGTCAAACTATATTTTACTTTTACACTTAGGGAGTAAGTGTAGGATAAAAAGTCCACGGGACGTGGCCGGAGAAATAGTTGGTAGGATCTGAGTAGTGTTGGCTAGGCTTGAAGGGAGTTGAGTCTTTGTAAGTCCAAGCTATGTTCATATTTGATCTATCAATGAAAGAGCTCTGAGGGGAAGTGAGATACTTCCCTGAAGAGTTTTTTAAATCTTTGGTTTATTGCTTCCGCATTATTCAGTTCTTGTTCTAGTTCGTACAATAAACAGCGCAATCCGTATAATTATACGTTTCAGAAATTATAGACTTTCGTCGATTATTGTCGGTGAATGTTACTACTTGTAACATCACAACCTTCTTCTTATCTCACGAGGTAAGTGGTGTATTTAGTACCTTTCACATTTAAATTGCCAAAAAATAACGAACATCTTGTCTATATATTTTTTCTCTAAAGCATTTTAATTATAAGAAAATTTTAATGGGTCCCCCTTGGAAGTATTTGGAATTTGGTCACACCGTTCTATCATTGTGTCCTTTGAACAGATTAAAGGCCCACGATTAAAAGATACGGTGGACGTCTCCGCACTGAAACCTTGCACCCTCACTCTCGTGGAAGGTAAAGAAAAGAAAGTTAAGAAACATAAATACTGACTGAAAGGTATTATTTATATCGATTTCGCCCTCAAAACATTTTAAACTTGTTACTACGCAGAGGACTACGATGGAGGGAGCGCCACCGCGCACATCAGGAGGCTGCTGGACATCATCGCCTGCACGACGTCGTTCGGTCCGTCGGCGAGCAAGGACTCGCCGGCGAAGGATGGGCGGGGAACGCAGGATAGGAAGACTTCGAAGAAATCGAGCAAGTCTCCCCGCTCGAGGAGCAACACTGGGAGTCCCCCACCGGCGGCGCCTTCAGCTGCTGCGGATGCTGATTCTAAGGAAGGATCTCTTCGGCGGTAGAAGAAGAGATGGACAATACTTCTCCCAAGTTGGCAAGCTTCTACGAGTTCTTTTCTCTCTCTCACCTCACGCCTCCTCTTCAGTGTAAATTTTTCTCTCATTTTTTAGTTGTTGTTTTTCTTATCTCCTTTGTTCTGAAATGAATTCTACCGAAATCTGGAAACAAAAGCGTTTTTTAGTTTTCCGTTAGCCAGACAAGCTTGTCTATCAACAGCACCCTAGGCAATAAAATTGAAATGAGTCTAACTGATGAAGTAAAGCCTGCTAAGTTGCACGCTTAGTGGCTAAAAACTAATTGTAATGCAGATCGTTTGCAAAAACACGTAGGTGTTCTCCAGAAAGCTCTGTCTCTTTGGCCAGAAATTGTAAAATTTACTGAAAGGAATTGTCAACATTTCAGCCAAATGATGAAAACTTATTTAGCAAGTGTATGCTAAAACATAAAACACACACACATATGTGGAGTCATGAATCTTCTAGCAATTATACCAATTCCTGGTGTCAGAAGATTGAATCTTAGATTCTTGTAAAGATCCTTAGAAAGGAAGAAAAGAAAACAAATTTTCTTTAGTTTTGCATTCTTGTTCCTTTCCAGAGGAATTTTCCTCTCACTTATTAGTTGGTGATACCATTTCAGTTATAAGAAAGGCATTGAAGAAAACCGACAGTGGAATTAATGGAGCTGATCATCTTTTCACTCTTGAAGTAAGACCCGTTGGGACTTTGCTTAAATAGTGTGACAATAAATAATTAACTAAAATAATGCAATACTTCTTTCGTTGCAGGTGAAATTGGGCAATGGTAAATTGCTACTCATTGAGGCTTCCAGAAGAGATTTTCACAGCACTGGAAGGCAGCCAATTCTTTGTCACAATTTGGTTGACTTGTTGAGACAACTAAGCGGAGCCTTTGATAATGTTAGTTCTATAAACTTCTTCTTTTGTTGCTTCCTGTTCTTCTTTCTGTTCCAGCGCCCTACACAGACCAAATATATATAAATAAAAGTAACGAATCTGGCTAACAGTATCTCTCTGTTTCAGGCTTATGATGAGCTGATGAATGCGTTCTCGGAGAGGAATAAGGTAGATCGAGCTTACCCTGATTCTATTTTTGTTATAACCGTCGGCAAAGGCCACCAAAAGAAAAAAAAAAATAAAAATCCTTCAGTGTACTAGATTTCTAACTAAACCAATTCACGTTTCCTTGCTGCAGTTTGGAAACCTCCCTTTCGGCTTTAGAGCCAACACATGGCTTATCCCACCTGTAGCCGCACAATCACCGTCCACATTTCCTATGTTGCCGACGGAGGACGAGAAATGGGGAGGGAATGGGGGTGGTCTAGGCAGAGACGGGAAAAGTGATCTTGTGCCTTTCGCGAATGAGTTTTTGTTTCTTGCATCCATGCCATGCAAAACAGCCGAGGAGAGACAAACCCGAGACAGAAAAGCTTTTATTCTCCACACTTTATTTCTCGATGTTGCTATTTTCAGAGCCACTGCAGCCATGCAGCATGTTATGAGAAGTCCAGAGTTAGTACATTCCGCCTTTAGCGACCAAATTATCTATGCGGAGAAAGTTGGGGACCTGAGCATAGCTGTTGTTGAAGACTCGTCTGATGCGAGTTGCAAAATTGATACTAAGATCGATGGGCAACTAGCTCTAGGATTGGATGACAAGAAAGTAGGTGAAAGGAATTTGCTCAAGGGGATCACGGCTGATGAGAATACTGCCGCGCATGTAGGGAACTTGATAAGATGAGCTAAAAATTGATCTTATGTAGTAGTATCTTTGCTTGTGATTTGATCATCTTTATGAAGAAAAACTGTTACTGTTGTACAGGATATTGCAACCCTAGGTGTTGTGAACGTAAGGTATTGTGGTTATATTGCGAGTGTGAAAATTGAAGGGATTGACAAAGTCAATGTGGATCACCCATTGACAAGCCTAGAGTTTCTTGACCAGCCAGATGGTGGTGCTAATGCTCTTAACATTAACAGGTTTATTCAACATATTCTCTCTTGTAGTTATACTTATATACTATATTAATTATCATGCAGTCAGATTCTTAATATCCATCTCTTTATACAGCTGTCATATCCTTATCCACTAAAGAAAGTAGTTTATCATGCAATTATATGTAGTATGTACTTGCTCTATTGTCTTGTGGTTTATATAATTGATATCACTTGTTCTTTGGTCTTCATTTACTTGTGGTTCTTACTTTGACTGTATTTGTAGTTTGAGGCAACTTCTTCATGAAATTTCAACGCTTGAAGAAAGTAAGTTGACATTATGCTCTCGAGTGGGAGAGTGTAAAGAACTTGGTTCTTCTGAAGCCTTTGTTGAGAGATTGTTCGAAGATAGTCTTTCAAAGCTAGAGGGAGAAGAAGCTGTTGGGGACGCTTTTGTGAGATGGGAACTTAGAGCCTGCTGGATACAACATTTACAAGATCAAAGAAAAACCGAGAAAGAAAGGAAAGCCTCAACGAGAAGGTCAATAATGAAATGAAGGTTGAGGGACTAGTAGGGCTGCAAACGAGCCGAGCCGAGTCGAGCATTGGCCCTATCGAGCGGATTGAATTTTTTTTTGAGGTGCTCGAGCTCGAGCTCGTCGAGCTCGATTTTTGGTGCTCGAGCTCGACTCGATCAAAACATACTAGAGCTCGAGCTCGACTCGAGCTCGACTCGAATTCATAATGCTCGAGCTCGGCTCGAGTTCGGCTCGATTTTTTTCAAGAAATTTTGTAAAATAACCATTAATTACATATATATACAAGGGTAATTTAGTAATTTCACATATCTCGATCCGCTCGCGAGCCGCTCGACAATGTAATATATGGGCTCGAGCTCGACTCAAGATCGGTCAAACTCGAGCTCGAGTCGAGCTTTGATTCGAGCGCTCGCGAGCGGCTCGCGAGCTGCTCGACTCGTTTGCAGCCCTAGGGACTAGGAATGCCTCTGAAGTCTCTTAAAAATAAAAAGAACTCAGATGGAGGTAAGGCAGAATGGAAAACTGAAAGATTAACCGATGAAGTGAAGAATGTGACAGTAACAGCTGTTAATGTGATAGAACCTGAGCTTGATATAATTGCAAGTGAAAAGGAACTTATGCTAAAGACCTTATTGTCTGATACTGCTTTTACTCGATTAAAAGATTCAGAGACTGGACTACATGCCAAGGTAGCATGATACTATTGTGATTTGTTTATATGTATATTTTCCAGACTTGATTCTAGATTCATGTTACTAAGAGCATGCTTGGATATAAATTTGTTTTTGTTTTGATTTGGGTTGGTTAAATTTGAAAAAGTAGGTATGATTAGTTGTTAGTGGATATAATAAAATAATATTTAAAATAAAATAATTAAAATTAAATTGATGTAAAAGTAAGAGAGAGAAAATGTGATGTGATAGTTAGTTAAATTTATGTGAGTAGATGAATAGTGAATTAAGGTTGATGTTGTGTGTAAGAATGATTGATTGATATTATTTAATTATATTGATAATATTGATGATAGTGGGTTGAGTTAAAGTTGAGTTAAAAAAGTGGTTGAGTTAAAAATGTTTGGATTTTATTGAGAAATTTTTGTATCCAATCATGCTCTAAATTGCTTTTCTTGACAGTCACTCCATGAACTAACTGAATTATCCCAAAAATATTACGATGAAGTTGCCTTGCCTAAACTGGTAATAGCATCTTTCTCCTTCATATGGTTATGCCTTGAAGTAGCAAATTTAGTGCATGAAATTCATCATGTGATACAGGTTGCCGATTTTGGTTCTTGGGAACTCTTTCCAGTTGTCGGTCGCATATTAACAGACTTCATGCACACAAGAGGACTTCGGATGCGTTCCCTTGGGAAAGTTGTAAGTTTCTTATGATTAAGTGGACTCTTCTGTTTATAACATGTTTTCCTCCACCATTGATTAACTGTTAGTTCATGGGTGATGTAGTAATATTACACCATTGCTTGATACTTATTGACTTGGCTTCAACTTATGGGATTTACATTTGTATATTGCATTGCATCATCACACCCATTCTGATTCATGTACTGTGTTATTTTGTCAATCTATTTAACATTTCACCATAAAATTTTATCTTCAGTGAGTTCTCTACTGAACAACAACAACAACAACAACATACCCAGTATATTCCCAAACGGGTTGGGGTATGGGGGGTCAGTTGTACGCCGACCTTACCCTTGTAATTATACAAGGAGGCTGTTTCCATAGCGACCCAAGATGCATTCGTCGTTTGATATATTTTACTAGAAACTTCACTAATAGAAGAAGCACTTGAATTGAATTGAGTCATTTTGATCTAGTCCATTAATAACATTATGCCAGGAGAATTGTCAACAATGACTCTTCTAGCTCCATGTGCAATGGACAAAGTGAGTTCTCTACTGAATGCTGCACATATTCTTTTTTCGAACAGGTTAAACTTTCAGAGAAGTTGTCGCATGTGCAGTCTCTTTGCATCCATGAAATGGTTGTACGTGCTTTTAAGCACATTCTGCAGGCAGTTATTTCTGCTGTTCAGAGACCTGAGAATCTGGCAGGACCAATTGCAGCAGCACTGAATCTGATGCTTGGAGTTTTTGAACGGGAACAGTCAGATACACCTCATGCTATCAATTCCCTTGTATGGAGATGGCTTGAGGTGTTTCTTAAAAAACGATTTGAATGGGATCTAAGCAAATCAAACTTTGAAGATATAAGGAAATATGCTATTCTCCGCGGTCTATGCCATAAGGTATGCTAACTCTATTTTCAGAAGACAGGCAATGACATGTGCCTTTTAATTGTCAGTATTCAAATATATTATCAGTTATTTTCTTCACATATTGAATATAGATTCATAAAGAAAGCAGTCCTACACAATCACGTCATATAACTGATTGTGGGAGAATGGATAATTTCCAGTTCGAGTCATGTTGAAATCCTTAAGTAAACCAGTAATGAAGTGCTTGCACAATTTCTGTTCAACTACTCGAGCTCTATGAACCACTTTTTGATGAATGGATCCGTAATAAGAAGTGTTTTGTTTACTTGACACAAAGGACGCTAGAATTTTGAATTATAAGAATGCTTTAAAAAACTCTTGTGTTCTTTCCATACGTGGGTATTGAGCTTGTCCCCAGGGATTTTGATATAAAATCTGCACATCCCTTCCGCAAAGAAGACATAGCTTCACTTGTACCAGTTCATAAGGTGAACTTACTCTAATTTTCCATATATAGCCTTTTCATTTTCAATATCCTCACATTACAAATTCAATTGGTTTATTGTAGCAAGCGGCATGTTCTTCTGCTGATGGACGACAACTCTTGGAAAATTCTAAAACAGCCCTGGATAAGGGAAAACTTGAAGAAGCTGTCAACTATGGAACAAAGGTGATTTTGTTTGTAAATATTCTGAGGTTGGAGATGAGATTATTGTTCGGGCCTAAATCCTACAATAACATTTTCTCTGCTTTGGTTTTCATTATTAATTATTATTGAGATATAATAACCAATATAAACTAGACTCCGGATATATTCTAGTTAATAGTTTCCCATCTTGTGGTTACTGATCACTTGATGGTTGCAACATTTTCACTATGCCAGACCCTTGCAAAGTTGGTAGCAGTATGTGGTCCCAATCACCGGATGACTGCTGGAGCTTACAGCCATCTTGCCGTTGTTTTAGATCACACGGGAGATTTCAACCAGGTGCTTTCTCAATCGTGTTATTCTATTGAATTTGTATGCGTAGTTGCTGTATCGGCACACCTTGTTTACTAAGTTTTATTATTTACAGGCCATAATATATCAGCAAAAAGCATTGGATATCAATGAGCGGGAACTAGGTCTTGATCATCCAGATACTATTAAAAATTACGGCGATCTTGCTGTTTTCTATTACAAATTGCAACACACAGAATTGGCACTCAAGTATGTATCACTGTTAACATCATGATACTCTAAAATTATTTTATCAAAACTATTTTTACTTTTATGGTTGTCTCCAAGCAAAGGTTATTATTAGTGACGGATCTAGGAATTTTACCCAATTTTGATTAAATAACAAGCTTGTAGTTTAAGTCGAAACGCTCATTTCATATAAAATGTATTTGCTATAATATAAATATCAACATGTGTACCATCAAGTTTTTGAAAACTTAGAATCTGTAGCACCTTCAAACTAAACAAAAAAAAAAAANNAAAAAAAAAAAAAAGATTTCATGTATTTATAATTTAAGTTTAACTATAATTTGTGGAAAAATGTTTTTTGGTTGAATAATTGATTTAACTTGAAATTTTGCAGTACATTGCATAAATTTTTTGTTGATGGGAGCTTATCAAATGAACAATTTTTAAGGAAAAAAAAAATAAAGTTAAAATATGTGATTACACAAAAAAAATAGTAAAAAATTAACATTAAAAAACGTTATAATTCAAATAAATACACGGTTTTATAAATCACAAAATTGATTTACAATGAAGAGACCGAAAGAGTAAGTCATTGTAAGTATTTTCAAAAACTTATTTAAAAATGTAAAATATAATGATTGTTAGTACATTTTCAAAAAAATAAATAATATTATTAATTTAAACTAAAAGAGCATAGAGAGTAAGCTATTATTATTAATATATTGTAAATATATTTTACATTGTACACATATTTTACAGAATTTTCTTTATATATATATATACACACACATTAAAACTGGACCTAATACAACTCCGCGCCTGGTTATTATTGCGTATGTACAGTACATGTTGCCTTCCTGGATTGTATAGAGACGATTAGCTCCATTGTTAGTCAAAGATTTTGTTTCAATGACAAGTTATTTCTATCTGGTACCATTATTCTTTCATATAGGCTCCGGTAGCATACAGCATTTCTGTTCAAGAGTCAAGACACTCGACATGTCTTCCTGTTAAACTCTTTCATAATTTATCAGTTAGTTTTAAAGGTCCTGACTCTCAGTGTGAATGATTTTATGTCATGTAGAGTTGCATTGATGGATCTTTGATTGGGAAATTCAAGCCTAAACGAAAAATGGATATATTGTGAGCATATTGTGACTTTGAGTCTCAAACAATGCATATGCTTGACTGTAGCTTCAATGGACGATAACCATTTGTAGGAACTTCATTGAGCTTTCTTTCTGTTCAAAGAGGCGTTCCAATTTATTTTGGTTTTACATATTTTGATGTGGTAATTTGGTTTTCCATCAACTAGATATGTGAAACGAGCTTTGTATCTATTACATCTCACGTGTGGTCCATCACATCCAAACACTGCTGCAACATACGTGAATGTGGCTATGATGGAGGAAAGACTTGGTAATGTGCACGTTACTCTAAGATATCTTCATAAAGCTCTGAAGTGCAACCAGATGCTTCTTGGCCCAGACCATATTCAGGTTGCTTGATAATAAGCTCATATTTCTTACTATTACAATATTGTTTCTGGGTTATTGTTGTTTTTTTTTTCAGTGTACAGAAAAGAACCAGGTTCCAATGTTGTATCTTTCCAGCTTCCAATGATAACACCACCACTAGGCCTTTAGAAGTGTCCCTTTTTCTCTTTTCAATCAGACAGTGAAAGTTGGAATTAGCAAATCTTGTAGTGCTTGCATGTTCCAGAAAAAAATATACTAAATCAGTTAATGTTTTTCAGACAGCCGTCAGTTACCATGCCATTGCAATTGCGCTCTCATTGATGGAAGCATATCCTTTAAGTGTTCAACATGAACAAACGAACTTCCAAATACTCCGGGTAAAGCTGGGACCAGATGACCATCGCACACAGGTATTTGGTATTTTCCAACCCCTGAAGATGTTGAAGCGAATTGTATCAGCTTTTTGCCTTTTATTCTTCATAAATAAGACCATACATTAAGAGGAATAGAAAATTTGATTTTCATATTTCACTGAAATTACAAAATAACACTGTTAGCCTCACTTTTTTTTTTTTTTTTTTTTTTTTTTTTTTTTTTTGTGGCTTCAACTAGTAACTTCTCTGATAGTGTTATGGCATGATTGGTATAATGGAATGAAAATTCGTAGGAATGGAATGAATTGAAGAATGGAATGATTATGGGAATGGAATGGAACAAATTTTGTCATTGATGCGTTTGGTATGCAGAAGGAATAAGACCTGAAAGGAATGACATTATGATTTTTTATTATAAAAATAAATAAAAGCTTTTTTTTTTAAAAAATAATATACTTTTAATAAACTATATATAAATGCCTTTTTAAATACTATATAAAAATAAAATAATATATTTTTTAATAATATAAAAAATAATATATTTTTAAATTATATATAAAATATAATATATTCTCAAAATAATATATTTTAATAATATATAAAAATAAAAAGTAATATATTTTTAGTAATATATATCTTTATTTTTAATTAAACAATAAATAAAAGTAAGTTTTCAATTTTTTTATGTGAATTTTATTTTTTGAAATAATATATTTTTAATAATATATAACAATATAAAATAATATATTTTTAATAATATATATTTTTATTTTTTTATAAAGCAATAAATAAAAGTAAGTTTTCAATTTTTTTATTTGAATATTATTTTTTAAATAATATATTTTTAATAATATATAAAAATATAAAGTAATATATTCTAATAATATATATTTTTATTGTATAATCAAGCAATAAATAAAAGTAAGTTTTCAATTTTTTTATTTTAATTTTATTTTTTAAATAATATATTTTAATAATATATAAAAATAAAAAGTAACATATTTTTAATAATATATATTTTTAATATTTTTTAATATTATGTGTTGCAACACAAGAAATTAATAAAGTCATTCCCAATGGAATTGGAATGGGTAATCCCATGGGTTGTGAGAGGAATGAGTAATCCCATAATAATGGGAATAGTGATTCCATGGTAATGGTCATTCCTTGTGAGCAAAACATACCAAGTATAGGAATGAGAATCACATAAGGAATGATCATTCCATTCATGGTCCATTCCCATATACCAATCATGCTCTTACTGCTGTGAAGTCTATGGAAAAGTTTCATGTTAAGAAGTTTTACTTATTTATTTGTATGAACCATTACACCATCTCAACGTATGAAACCTGCAGGATGCTGCTGCATGGCTCGAATATTTTGAATCCAAAGCTTTTGAGCAGCAAGAAGCTGCTAGAAATGGGACTCGCAAGCCTAATGCTTCTATAGCCAGCAAGGGCCACCTTAGGTAAATAGACGGTTTTGGGTGAATTGCATTTAATGAATTTGAGACATGTTACAGTTTCAGCAGATACAACCTTTTATGTTTGCAGTGAGGAATAAGGTGGGATACCTGGCTTGGGATCATCACAATATTTATATTTAGTTCATGAGTTTTATTGTAGTCAACATGGACAATAAAAATAAAAAAAAAGAAAAAAAGCAGAAAAGGAAAACTACATAAATTCGTAACTTACTGATAACTGTGTCGCCAGTGTATCAGATTTGCTCGACTACATTAATCCAAGCCAAGATGCTAAAGGGAAAGATGCTGCAGGATCAAAGAGCAGAAGTTACATTGCAAAGGTTTTTCTAGTATCTTTCATCTAATACTTTATGTAAGGGAGTGTTTGGGAACTCTACAAAAAAGTAAATCATCCGCTTCGGGCTAGAAAATACAAGTATTTTCTCAGACGTAACTTCTGCAAACTTAGTATTTTCTTTCTCTTAAGAGTTTTTTATGCTTCCATTCTCAGGCAAAGGCGAAATCCCTCCAAAACAATCCAACCTCAATGGATTCTGAAGTGACCCCAAAATATACTTCAATTGAGGCTGCAAATGAAGACAACCAAACCCCTAACTCTAATGTCAACACCTCTGTCAATCATCGATCTTCCTCTCCACTACTTCAGTCCGGAGAAGTTTTAGAGGCACCGACTGAGAAAAAACCTATCCAGCCCGTACAATATTTGACACAGGAACCCGTAATTGGAACGCCTGTTAATAATGATGTCTCACCTGAAACACACCATGAAGGAGAAGATGGATGGCAGACAGTCCAAAGACCAAGGTCAGCTGGATCTTCTGGAAAACGGCCAAGGCACCGCACATCAGCATTCAAATAAACTTTTCAATCATCAGAAGAAAGATTTTGTTGCTGAAATAGATCATGCCAGACTGGAAAATAACCATCAAAGTAGTAAATATTATGTTCTAAAGAAGAAGACATCTCCAGGGTGCTCTACGGAATTCTATGTGGCAAAGAACCCATCAGTGGGGACCAAATTTGGGCGAAAGTTGGTCAAAACTGTAGCTTACAGAGTGAAGTCTGTGTCATCATCCACTACAGATACTGCTGCACAAGGCTTCAAGAACGAGGCAAGGCACTAAACTCTACACCACCTTCATACAAGGAAGTAGCTTTGGCACCGCCTGGCACCATACCTATGTTCCAGGCAAATGACGGTTATAGCGCCGAGGAAGTTGAAGAACATAACGAGCAGCAATTCGATGCTGAGAATAAATCTGGGGATGTTCTGTTAACTGCAGGAAATGATCAGGAAGTGGGTGCTTGTACTGGAGATTCAGATGCAACCCTAGCCTATGATGATTGTACAAAATCAAATGCCAAAGGGGCAGATGAAATGATGGTGAAATCGTCTTTGAATATCTCGGAAGAAGTTGCCAATAAGAAGCTATCAGCAAGGCGGCAGCTCCATACAATCCATCTGCAGTCGCTCCACATGTGGCGCCGCTGCCCATTCCACCAGTCGGGCCTTGGCCTGTGAATATGGGCCTTCATCCGGGTCATGCCACTATCTTGCCTGGCCCAATGTGTCCTCACCACCACGCATATCCTTCGTTGCCGCAAACTCCAAACCTAATCCATCCTCTGCCGCTATTTATATACCCTCCTTACATGCAGCCTCAGTCGATGCCACCAACGACTTTCCAAATAACCAGCAACAGCCCCAACCATCAACGCCAGTTTGCATGGCAGTGCAACATGGTCGCCAACACGACTGAGTACATTCCCGTCACGGTAGAATTCTCATCCCCGACCGTGGTCGAGTCCATTCCAAAACCCAATTTGGAGATGAATGTGGATGATATTAACACTGAAAGCATAAATTTGGCGCCTAATTTACCAGTGTATCGTGACAGTGAGAACGTGTCCAAGATAGAAGTCGACCTTCCGGTGTCAGAGACCGTGGAGAATTTGAAAGATGTGAATTTGGTTCAGCAGGGGAGCGGAGCGAAACCCAGCGTATCTTATTTTCATGGTGTTCCTTTTCCATCTAATGATCGTCACGTGCAAGGGCAGCAGAAGAATGTTGACGATGAAAAGACGTTCAAAATTTTGGTTAGAGGGAGAAGGAACAGGAAGCAGATGTTGAGAATGCCATTGAGTTTGCTGAGACGGCCGTATAGTTCGCAGCCATTTAAAGTTGTGCAGAGTAGAGTGCTGAGGGAAACTGAACTTCCAAGATCCACTGGCTTTGACACCATAGAACAGGCTGCGGATAGTGTGGCATAAGGAGGCTTGGTATAACCCTGTTCAAATGGTACAGCATGATAATCGAGAAGATGTTACATTTTTATTACAGAATGAAGAAATTAACATCGTTGCCTAATTCCGAAGTGTATTGGATGCCCAAGCTGGTCGCTCAGTTTATGCAGGTTAGAGTTTTCATTTCCTATATATCGGGAGATTCTTGTTTTTTTTTT